TTATACTATAGTCGCACCGGTAGTGACGTCATGGCTGTCGCCGGCCAACGAGTTGGTGTTTTTTCAATGTATGCTTCAGACACGGGTCACGACGAGGCGTTCCCCATAGCGACCCCTAGAGGACGCAGTGTCTCGTTCCCTACTCAGGGAACCATGGTTACATAAGTAACCTGAGACGATTTTCTTCTCTCAAAACTCAAACATGCACATACAAGATTTGAAAATCGTAGCTCATCACACACTACAAGATATTAAGATGATCATGCCAGAAGGAGTACCTCACATGATCTTATATTGAAGCGGACATAAACGAAATTGATAATTTTCTGTTCTTCAGCGAGAACTGGAGGTGAGATTTATATGCCAATTTTAATATTTGTTAACAGTAGTATGCTAGCTAACGTTAGCCACAAGGGCTAAAAGGTTTACCGTTGCTTAGCCACACCATCAGCACGTTAGTTTATAGCGCTAGCAGCTTTCTACACTCACCCGACATGTTCAAAACTGAGGGGATTTCTCCCCAGCTCTTCTCTTTGTCTGTACAGTTGTGGTATGTATACTTTATACAGGCAGTCGCGTTTCGCGGTCGCCATTTCAAAATTTCTCTCATTAATCTCCATCTCCTTGTAGACTTGTCTCTCACTAGCTACTGTGAAAGTACTGATGTAATCATAGTTGTAATCATTCTGATTTAAAATCCTAAATATATCAAACGTGTTTGATATTATCGAGGCAGCCTCAATGTGTCTGTGAGCAGATCGGGAGGTTTAAGATTCAGTCTGAAAACGCCTCACATCACCAGATAATCTGGGCCAAACATCGGAACCGGCCGAGGTCCTAGACAAGATTTTTTGTCAATCGTAAATCGGGGATAAATCGGTCCAAACCTCCTGTAGTCTGAGCCCGGCCTTAGCATAGTCGAACGCATAGCCTTTCAAAGTGTATTTCATGTGATAGGATATGCACACACACACAAAAAAAAAACTTGCACAGAAGAAAGACACCCTAGTGTTCATGCAAAGACCGAAGTATATAGTGGACTTAAAAGTCAAGCAACAGGCAAAAAAATAAAAAATAAAAACATTAAAGAAGGGACCCGAAGCTTCTAGAGCCCAGAAAATCTTAGACACTTGGGAGTGGGCTCACAACAACCCAGAAAACACTAGCAACCTGCTAAAAACACTCTTAGCAACCTTCTTTCAATATCCAGGCAACCTTCCACGACACCTTAGCAAATTTTGCAAGAACAAAAACCACTCTTCCATCAAAAAATAAAAGATAATATTAGCTTTCCTCAATACTGTCTCTACTAAGTCTGTTTTTGTTGTTGCTTATGTAGTACTTGGTCCTTTAAATATGTTGTTGATGGCTTACATTATTTTTTCTGACCTCTGTACTCAGTTTTGGACTATGTATGGGTCTGGTTTTGACTTCTATTTCTTGTGCTCTTCATGCTGGTTCTCTCTCAGCAGGTCCTATGGGGCCACATTAAGCTATGTCCGGTTATAGCCGGTTTATTGCTCAGACAGTTCTGGCTGTCCCATTTTGGATTGGTTTCGTGTGATTTCGTGCCACAGGGTGGCCAGCCTAGGACTTAATGAAGGGGGCCCATTTGTGAAATTACCCAAAAGATTTCAGGTCCCCAAAGCTTTTGCCCCCCCTCCCCCCTCATTATCTCTCCGCCCTCCCCCACTGCGCCACTGATTGCGCGTCATTAACAGGCCGGCATCGGCTCTGCTGCTGGGAAGGAATGCCTTTGAATCAGAGTTGGGCCACATGTGCCTTTGAACTCTCTTGTTGTCTGTGCTACGCCACACATTTTAGAGCTTTTCGATAAGACAGCTGATTTTGTGGTGGGGGTTGGCGATTTACTTGAGGGTGCCATTTTTGGTACTTATTAGCTCTGTTTCAAAATCTAGTGAGCTGCCTACCAAGTCAGCATTTTACAGCATCATAGACATGTTTTGTCATGAAAACAGGTTGACAAAGCATGTTGCATGATTATGTTGCCGACTAAAGGCCAAAGTATACTTTGGTTTTTACGTGTACGTGAGGGTCCACGTACAGACACAAATTTCACTATCAGAATAGTATGTGTGTACTGTACGCACACCATCTGATTTTTGTGACCGTGCATACTTTGTACGCGCAGGTCGCACATGCGCATTGACTTGGTTTCCACAAGGTGGCAACACTGGCCCGACTGCAACAACAGACGGCTGCATTGACAAGCGCTTATGTGAGAGGGTTATGAGATAGCAGCAACTTTAGTTTAAAAGAGTACAAAGAGTTCATAATTTAAGAAGAAATATTGAGCAGACACTGGACAAAGATGAAGCTTTCTAGGGCATGTGTCGACCGCCTGCCTGTGTTTGCGTACACCTCAAATGGACTATACTTTGAAAGGCTACATATGTTGAATTCAATTCTGGAAAGTATTGTTAAAATATTTCAGTGCAGTTACATTGACTATTTTACCAAATAATCGTGTGTTATGTATTTTATGCTCATAAGAGTGTCATACCATTAATTAGCAACATGCTAACAGAGAATGAACTGGCAGAGCCGAACGTGGAAAATGCAGTATACCTGGGCATTTAGGTTCCATTTGGTTATGATGCTGCCTCAGAAGGCAGATGCCATTGTAGGCATTAGACAGCAAGGCAGCTCACTAGTTTTTTATATCCATGTTGGCCTCATACTGCTTGAGTACTTTGGCCCAGTGTTTTTTAGTCCTGCAGTGTAAACATTTGAAAGGGTCTGTGTTTTTAATTATCTCCAGCAGTCCAGCCCCAGCTATCCTCCTAAACATATTTTTAAGTCACGTCGGCTCAGGCTCTCTTGGCAGTGCTTTGAGGGACGCCTGTATTATTTTTGGCCAGCAGTTCTGAGGTCTTTGTATGAACACGAAGGGGAAACCAAGGCCTGGCCAGGCTGGACTGGGACAGAGAGAGAGAGAGAGCCAGGGTGCACGGACACGGCCAGCCACCGGAGACTCCTGTTCCTCTCGCCCAGCTGGAGTTTAGCCTCAAACATGGGAAACTCAGTTTGAGTGGCACAACATTATCTGATTCCACTGATCTACTGGTGGATGGATTATTGGATTCTACAGAAACCATGAATTGCTTGATGAAAATGGTTTATCAAGCAGAGCTTAGGTATATCACAGCCCTGTGATGCTATTGCTAGTCAAAAGCAGTATCATGTATTTTTATTGTTCATTATTTAAAAAAAACTAAACTAAATAAAATAAAAGTTTCCCAGTCTACTGGCTGAGATGCTGGGATAGGTTCCAGCATCCCCACAATTCTACACAGGACAAGGGGTTTGGAAAATGAATGAATGTAACATACCACAACACAACACATAATAACATAAAACAAAACAAATCTCTCACACTTTCAGCTGCTCAGGTTGCCGACACCATTATGCATACTTATTTGCTTTTCATCCACATATTTATTGGGCATATTTTATATAAAATCAAACTGAAATACAATCTCTCTCACACTTTTAGCTACAACAAAATAAAGTAAAATTAAAATTGCACACAGTATTCCTATTTCTAATGAAATAAGTTTCACATTCTCATACTGAATCTGGATGGCATTTTATTGGATACTGCATATATTTAAGATAAATTGTGAATATTTTTTGTTTATTTTCCCGGAAGAGAAAGACTTCAATTTCAAATGTGAACATCTGATAAAAGTGAGTTTTGTCAACCTTTAGGAGTACACTAGCACCTCAAAGCCAACAGACATCCACCAACAACCAACATTTACATTTTTTTTCTGTCGATCGCTCACTACTCCAACAAGTTTATTTTAGTGACATTTTGACATATGTTCTTCTAACCACATAAATCTTTTTAAAGCTGGGTGTGTGTGTCTGTGTGTTTGTGCTCACACTCCACCTGGCAGTTGGTTGTTGAAGGCATCCGCTTCAGCCAAAGGAAGGATCACATCCAGACTCTCAGCCACTAATCACTTCCCATCCGCCCTGCCTGTCTGTCTGTCTGCCTGCATGTCTGTCTGTCTGTCTGCTTGCCTGTCTGTCTGTCTGTCTGCCTGCCTGCCTGCCTGTCTGTCTGTCTGTCTGTCTGTCTGTCTGTCTGTCTGTCTGTCTGTCTGTCTGTCTGTCTGCCTGCCTGCCTGCCTGTCTGTCTGTCTGTCTGCCTTTCTGTCTGTCTGTCTGTCTGTCTGTCTGCGTGTCTGTCTGTCTGCCTGCCTGCCTGTCTGTCTCTGTCTCTGTCTCTGTCTCTGTCTCTGTCTCTGTCTGTCTGTCTGTCTGTCTGTCTGTCTGTCTGTCTGTCTGTCTGTCTGCCTGCCTGTCTGTCTATTTAGTCCACCTCCGCAGGCAGCTGTCTGTCTGCACCATTCTTATGTTTTGTGTTTAACGACTAGGTTGGAAATTTTTTGCTGGAGCTCATCCAGACAGAGCTCAAATCCTGCGTTTCTGTTCATACGTTTAAAGTAGAGATGTGGCCGTTTCTATTGACCTCTTCTGACAGACTGTTTCAGAGTCTCAGTTTTACTCCTACAAGAGCCTCGTGGGGGGCCTCATTTTACCTCAGTAGCATGAGAATATCTTGATTTTGATAAGTAACACAAGCACTGAGGTGTTCTGTAGGTCTCTCTGGTGATGTTATGGACCAGAGCTGTTGGTTTTGTGTGTGATGGCCTATATCCCAGCATGCTGGAATCATTTTAAGTTCCTCTAATAACAGGGAGACTTCAGAGGTTTTTACAGATCCTGCAGCCTGAAGCCTGATTTTTTTGTATAATTGCACACTGAAGTTGAGCCACGTCACTTCAGATTGACTGCACTGACGTCTGCATGTGTGTTTATGTGCAGTGTATGGCCGTGTGTGTGGTGTATTAATGTTTAGCTGTGAATCAATGACATTGTGGAAAACCGCATTTACTCTGCAAAACACCTGTCTGTGATCGTGATTGTCTTTCTGTCTTTTTCTTAAAATGTACTGTTTTCAGCTCTTGGCTTTTTTTTTTTCTTCCTTATGTGTTTTTAGAGATGGTTTTTCATTTGCAAGTGTCTGTAGGTCGTTTGAGACTGAGTTTGTCTTTTTTATCTTTTGTTCTTCAGACTGCCACCGACAGCTCCTCAAACTCATCTCAGAAGAAGGAGCTCGCTACACAGCTAGTGGCCACCTCCATCTTTTACGAGCCTCATCCACATCGCTGCATTCTGCAGTACCGGCCGCCCGAGCGCTACAGCCTGGATCAGGTGCGTCAGGTGGAGGCATATCTAGGAGCTGCATGAATTAATGAATATTCATACATCATTAAGATCAGTGATTCTCAATTCCAGTCCTGGCAACCCCCCGCTCTGCATATTTTGCATGTCTCTCTTATTTAACACACCTTATTCAGATAACCAGCTCGTTAGAAGAGAGCTCCATGCATGAACTGAGTTCCGATTGACATGGTCCCCTACACAGTGTTCATTGCTCCCTACTCCCTGAGCACAGGAAATCCATTGAAGTTTACTTCATTTCGGAACATTCATTCACGGATTTGCACTACGCCACTGCCTGCAGCGTCTTCACACACAGACGAAACTTACTAAAGAAGTGTGACATAATATACCTCTGTAAATAAATACAATTAAAATTCACGTCTCGCACACTTTAATGCCCTTTGAATGGAACATATATGCTCCCTTCGAACTGGAATCATGGGGGAATATCCTGTGATGTCCCACCGTTTAAGTTTGGAGATATTTTTTTTAAAGAAATTGCTACATTTATTCAGCATGGATGTATTAAATATATCAAAAGTGACGCTAAACGCATTTATGTTGTTACTAAAGATTTCTATTTCAAATGTTCTTTTGAACTTTCTATTCATCAAAGAATCCTGATATATATATATATATATATATATATACATATACTATAAATACTATAAAATATATAAATACTATAAACACTACAAATATTAAACTGTTTCCAACAGGAGTATTCTCAGTTTCAGTGCAGACACAAAAATGGGGATGGAATTATAATAAAAATTGTACTGGTGGGCCGGAAACTTTGATGCCTGATCTTGATTCGTGAAAAAAAAAGAGATTTATATTTAAATTTGAGCAATATTTAAATAATATTATTAAAGGCTAGAATACACTACATGACGTTTGACTAGATCTTTAGCACCAGTTTACAGTATGAACAGGTCAACACTAGTTCCCCTCTACAGTTTCACAGAAAATCACGTAGTGTATGAAGAGCAAATACTTTTTAGCTTCAGACTGATTCCATCCAGCCAGAGGATATAAACACGTTTGATATTTAGATTTAATATTGTTTTCATCTCCTAAAATGAAGGCGCACGTTTCTGCAAAAGTTTGTTGTGTTTGGAACAACTTGAAAGTCTGGTAGTGTGTGATTCTCATTCAGATTTGAAAAACCATGTAGTATATTCCAGCCTTAAATCAGATAACGTAATGAGTAAAAGAACATGGAACATGGAAATGACCTTTTTCAAATAAGTGACACGATTCAGTATCGTGAGAGAATAAAAGAACTGCGTTACATGATCTTACAGGCACAGTCATCCCTTTTATGCTCTTATTTTCTCTCGCCTCTCAGAAGTTCTCCAGGAACCCCTTCCTGTTTGAGGATGAGGAGATCGTCCGAATCAACCCCCGGGAGCGCTGGCTGATCACAGGCTACGAGGACTACCGATACGCCGCTGTGCCAGACAAGTTCATCCAGCACGAGGACTCGGACTCGTACGTTCACATCGCTAAGAACGAACCCTTAAAGCACGACTATAACTACCCCTATGTGCCCAGCTCCGACTTCAGCCAGTGCGACCTCAAGAGCCACGGGGGCGACGGAGGCGTAGTGGCCACCCAGCCGCGGGCGTTCAAGCTCAAGGGCAAGCGGAGGAAAGAGGACGGAGAGCGATCGCGCTGCGTCTACTGCCGGGACATGTTCAACCACGAGGAGAACCGGCGCGGACAGTGCCACGACGCTCCCGATCCCATCCGGACCTGCATCCACCGGGTCAGCTTCATGTGGTGCGCCGACAGCATGCTCTACCACTGCATGTCCGACCCGGAGGGAGAGTACTCGGACCCGTGCTCGTGCGACACCAGCGAGGAACGTTTCTGCCTTCGCTGGACGGCCCTGTTGGGTCTGTCGGTGTTGGCGCCCTGTCTGTGCTGCTACCCGCCGCTTCACGCATGCCACCGCTGCGGCGTGGCCTGCGGTTGCTGCGGAGGAAAGCACAAGGCTGTCGGCTGAACCCCCCGCCCGTCCCGAATTAACCCTAAACTCCCCTCGGAACACTAGCACTGAGGAGGGCAGGAGCGGACTTTCCCTTTTGTTGTGGATGTTTCTCTCAGTTCTTCATGAAAGAAATGGCTCTTTTGTCAGGTGGCTCTTGGAGCCTTCATGTCATGCATTACTTATGCAGGTACTTTATATTTTTTACACTGATTTGACTTCTCAAGAACTTGAATCGCTTCGATATGCAGTCGTTTTGGTTTTGCGTTCGTCCGCCTTGGCCAGCAAAGGGAGGAATTCGCTGTTTACTCTTCCTGAACAGGTCCATACATAAACTGGCATTTATATCCCAAGCCCTTTAACCGTTCAGAACAATAACAATGAGATTAGCTCGAGACACTAAACCTGTAGTCAGAAACGTCCGTTTGTAGTGCGTTTGTGGGTGAGCGTGTGTCGATGCCTGCGTGCGTGTTGTTTGTATCACAGCATTGTATCACAGCATAGCATTGTCGTTATTGTATTTAAGCCAAATTTACATAAGCTGCATCCAGAGTATATGTAAATACTGTATGCTCATATGTATATGTTTCAAATCGAATTATTGTAATCACCTTCGACAGTCACAGCTACGTTTCAGACATGGGACATTTTCCTTAGAGTTGACTTCTTTTGAATGCGAGGGTGGCTCTTGAGTTTGATGCATATTTGATATCCAAAGATTATTTTTGTCATATTTATTTTCGCGGTCAATTGAATCACCAGCCAAAGGGAGAAAGAAAAAAAAATAGAGAGAAATCATCAGACTGTGGGCAAAAAAAGCACAGCCATATGGGGAAAGAGAAGTTTCCAGTGAGCCCACGCCGCTTAAACTGCAAAAAGAAATCTTTCTTTTAAACATAATTTTTGTCTTGGAAAAATGTAATCTAAATATCCTCACAACAAATCACTTTAATAAGTACTTTTTAGAATTTTATAAATTTTTTTGGTTGAATTTGACCTTATTTGTATTTATTTATTATAGATTTCTATTGATTGAAACAAACCTCACACAATTTATTAGATTTATGCTTAAAACAAGAAGAAAAATCAGTTTGCCAATGGAATAATAAAAAAAAAAAACCTAAGACAAAATAATATTTAATGCAGCTTTGCTTCTCATGTCATTTCTGTTTGTTTTAGGACGGTTCAGATATTTTTACTGGAAAACAAGACAAAAATATGAATTAATGAAATTATTTTATGCTGTCAATTTGAGAAAACACTAAAGCACTATCTTTTTTCCCTTACTGACAGATGGCTCATAATTTGTCTCTATGATCTCTAGAAAATGGAAGGAAGTGTTGTCTCAAAGATGTTTCCAGCTCCAGTCCTGTTCTCTAAGAAAAATGAAAGGAAACAGAAAAATAAGCTTGATTTTAAGGGTGCTTTATAGAGGGACGTTTGCCAAACCTATCTCCAGTTTCTTCATGACAATAACTTAACGCCTTAATTTTTGCGAGGACATTAAAATGAACCAATGCAGTTCCTCAAAGAAGAGAAAATAGTGAAAAGATATTTTTCTATTATATAAAAAACAACACCCCAATAGATAGGCCTTTCTTTTCAAAATTAAAAAGTGCTCCAGTTATTCGCGGGAATCAAATGGCACGGTACAATCGTATGTGTCGAGTCTGTCTCTATCACCTCACCCACACCTGTGAAGTACTTCATAGTTAACCAGTCACCTTCCTCTGCTCATGCTCTGTCTGAATAAATCATCCCCTGACAAAGCAGTGCTCTCAAAGATACTCAAAGCGTATGTGAGCAGTCAAGGAATGTACAGTATATGTGCGTCAGATGCTTCTTCATGTGGTGTGTTCTCAAATGACATTGTGAAACTCTTAAAAATAAAGGTTCTTTAACGGTTCGTTGAAGAACCTGTTCTCAGCAAGAACCATTTTTTCGTTATAAAGGTTCTTTAGAGATCAAAACAAGCTCTTGATGTCACATTATTGGTTCAAAGATTGGTTCGGAATCGCATACTACTCCTACTAGTGGTATGCAGGTTTTTTTTTAATGCATAGTATATCCAAACAACATTTACCAGAATCTGCAGTATGCACGTATACTATCCCACAATGCAACGAGGTTGACCTGACCTTCCATTCTCAGTGTGATGGATGAAAATATAAAATAAGGCCTGTTCACGCCAAGGGTGATAACTGTTATAATAACTATATCAGTGTCCACTGATTGGCTGTCAGTATATTTATCGTTCATCAGCTGAACAAAATGGTTCCGAAAGTGATTCCAACAATATTGTTCCTCTGTGTCGTTAGCATTATAGCTGTTGTGAACTTCACTATTCTCATAGAATCACAGTGATTATTAAAACGGTATAGTTACAGTTATCGTTCTTGATGTGAGCAGGCTTAGAAAGTCAGCCACAATTTTTTAACATTTCTTTTCTGACTCATCGTTTGATCGGATTGGAAATAAATATATAATTAACACACAAAAAATATTTTCTTTAATTATTATTATTTATGAAAACAAATGTCTAAAAATAAAAATTATCATTATTATTTGTCGAATTTATCATGCAATGTGATGAGATGATGTGAGAATAATGTGATTGTTGTGGAATTGTATACAGATTACTGTGCTGTATACAAAACAGTATTCGGTTAATATTCAATTCTGCCAGTATTCAATTCTGAACACGGTCTTTGTATCATCTGTTTTGTGTTCTTTGAAGTGCTTCAATTTTGTATTTTTTCTAGGAAATTATATTTTTATTACCTATTCTGTGCACTGTAAAAAAAAAAAAAAATGATATGATCAGTAATTCATGACAGCTTATGTTTTTACATTACTTTAGCTCATCAAATAAGTTGAACAATATCAACTTTTTTTATAAGTTATATGAAATTCAACTTGATTTTTTAAAAAAGTCGGTTAATGTAATTTAAGTTGAAATGACTTGTACAACCAACTTGCTTATACTTAAAAATTGAAGGCATTAGCTTTGAAACATTTAAGATTTAGTCCCCCTTGTACTTACCATGTTCCCCTTGTTCTTACTTTTCTAAGCTATCTAACACATTCTGTGTAAAATGTTCAGGTTTAGATGAAAAACAAACATTCAATGTGGTCTCTTTGGAACTTTTCGAAAGAACCGTAGAACTTAAAAAGGTTCATGTTGAAAAAGCCTTTATTTTTAAGAGTGGGCTGCTGCTGTGTGGTTTCACTCTCACACACACAAAAAAAAGGTACAAAACCTGTTACTGGGACGTACCTTTAAAAAAAAAAAGGTACAACTTTGTACCTTAATTACTCCTAAAGAGTGCATATTAGTACCCAAAGCTTACATATTAGTACCTTTTGAAAAGGTGCTGCCCCAGTGACAACTTTTGTACCTTTTTGTCCGCTGTGGCTTCACTGGAGTCCTCTCGCTGATGGGTGGCAGCTGTCACTGTGTCCTTCATTTAACACGTGTCCTTTCTGTATCTGAGTACGTCAGCTTCTGCAATACCGCCGTCATCTGAGCTTAGAGAAGAGCTGCGTTTTATTTGTCTATCTGTGGTAATGGAAAGTTAACCAAAAGCATTCTGTACGAACGTCTGTCCTGGTGCAACGTCTTGCTGCGACACGCATTTACCTGTTAAAAAGTGCCTGAAGCATCATTTTAATCTCCTTGTATACTAAAAAAGAGAAAAGAAACAGAAAAAGATTGAAAAAAAAAGAAATAAACCCTATTGATTAGTTTTGTTTTTTACAATCCAAATTTTTACCTCTGTAAAAAGCAAAAAAAAAATATCTATATCAAGTGTATGATGTACATTTTTATTTCTATTTTTTTTAATCGTTTCTAACATGTATGATCAATGTAGCTCCTGCTTTTAGGAAAAGATGGAAAAAAGAAAGTACTTTGTAAATACCAGTGGATCGTATCGGAGCTACGTGACGGCCTGGCCGCTGTGCAGTTCTACATGTTTGTCAGAGGTCCCAATAAAAATGAAAGAAACCAGTAACCCGTCTACATTCCTGCTGTTTGCCACGAGCTATTGTTCACTTAAAAAAATGCCAATTTGATCGATTTGGTTGGATTTAGACTTTGACCCAGTATTATTTTAGTATCAGAGATACCATTATATTTTTAATTAATGTTTTGAATATTTTAAATATTTATTTTCTGTTTTCATTTTAATTTTAGTTAAAGTATTAGTAGTTTTTTTTTAACTAATTAGTTTAAACTAAATTAAACTAGTAATTTTTGTACATTTTTGTCTGTAGTTTTTATTCATATTTTGAATTAGGTTGTATTTCATATTTTCCATTTTCACTTACATTTTAGTTGAAGTATTAGTAGTTTTGTCATTTTTATTAGTTTTTATTAATATTTATAATTAGTTTTTATTTTTAATTGTAAAGTATTAGTAGTTTTTGTCATTTTTGTTAGTTTTTATCTATGTAGTTTTGAATTCGTTTTTATTTTTATATTTTCAGTTTTCATTTTCATTTTAGTTGAAGTATTAGTAGTTTTTGTCATTTTTGTCTGTAGTTTTTGTTAATATTTTGAATTAGGTTGTATTTCATATTTTCCATTTTCACTTAAATCTTAGTTGAAGTATTAGTAGTTTTGTAATTTTTGTTAGTTTTTATTAATATTTTGAATTCGTTTTTACATGTTCCCCTTGTTCTTACTTTTCTAAGCTATCTAACACATTCTGTGTAAAATGTTCAGGTTTAGATGAAAAACAAACATTCAATGTGGTCTCTTTGGAACTTTTCGAAAGAACCGTAGAACTTAAAAAGGTTCATGTTGAAAAAGCCTTTATTTTTAAGAGTGGGGTGCTGCTGTGTGGTTTCACTCTCACACACACAAAAAAAAGGTACAAAACCTGTTACTGGGACGTACCTTTAAAAAAAAAAAAGGTACAACTTTGTACCTTAATTACTCCTAAAGAGTGCATATTAGTACCCAAAGCTTACATATTAGTACCTTTTGAAAAGGCGCTGCCCCAGTGACAACTTTTGTACCTTTTTGTCCGCTGTGGCTTCACTGGAGTCCTCTCGCTGATGGGTGGCAGCTGTCACTGTGTCCTTCATTTAACACGTGTCCTTTCTGTATCTGAGTACGTCAGCTTCTGCAATACCGCCGTCATCTGAGCTTAGAGAAGAGCTGCGTTTTATTTGTCTATCTGTGGTAATGGAAAGTTAACCAAAAGCATTCTGTACGAACGTCTGTCCTGGTGCAACGTCTTGCTGCGACACGCATTTACCTGTTAAAAAGTGCCTGAAGCATCATTTTAATCTCCTTGTATACTAAAAAAGAGAAAAGAAACAGAAAAAGATTGAAAAAAAAAGAAATAAACCCTATTGATTAGTTTTGTTTTTTACAATCCAAATTTTTACCTCTGTAAAAAGCAAAAAAAAAATATCTATATCAAGTGTATGATGTACATTTTTATTTCTATTTTTTTTTAACCGTTTCTAACATTTATGATCAATGTAGCTCCTGCTTTTAGGAAAAGATGGAAAAAAGAAAGTACTTTGTAAATACCAGTTGATCATATCGGACTACATGACGGCCTGGCCGCTGTGCAGTTCTACATGTTTGTCAGAGGTCCCAATAAAAATGAAAGAAACCAGTAACCCGTCTACATTCCTGCTGTTTGCCACGAGCTATTGTTCACTTAAAAAAATGCCAATTTGATCGATTTGGTTGGATTTAGACTTTGACCCAGTATTATTTTAGTATCAGAGATACCATTATATTTTTAATTAATGTTTTGAATATTTTAAATATTTATTTTCTGTTTTCATTTTAATTTTAGTTAAAGTATTAGTAGTTTTTTTTTAACTAATTAGTTTAAACTAAATTAAACTAGTAATTTTTGTACATTTTTGTCTGTAGTTTTTATTCATATTTTGAATTAGGTTGTATTTCATATTTTCCATTTTCACTTACATTTTAGTTGAAGTATTAGTAGTTTTGTCATTTTTATTAGTTTTTATTAATATTTATAATTAGTTTTTATTTTTAATTGTAAAGTATTAGTAGTTTTTGTCATTTTTGTTAGTTTTTATCTATGTAGTTTTGAATTCGTTTTTATTTTTATATTTT